CAATATGGATGCCTCTTATTTCTTTTTCTTGCCTTATTGCCCTAGCTAGAACTTCCAGTACAATGTTGAATACAGGTGGCAAGAATGGACATCCTTGTCTTCTTCCTGATCTCAGGGGAAAATCTTTAAGTCTTTCACCATTAAATATGATGTTAACTGTGGGATTTTTATAGATCCCCTTTACAGAGATAAGTATTTTTATCTGGCTATGTTTCTGCCCAAAGTTAATTGGAGTTTTGCTGAAAGACAAAAAGGAGGAATGGGTATGGCTGTTTACCACAGCATGTGTTTCTTCATGTGTTCAGCCCTGACTTAGCTTTGCTGTGTGATGATTTATTAGGAAATAAACATATATTTTCAGTAGAGGCTTTAAGTGTAGGATGTTGTGGGGTGTCATTCACATAAAATATGACCCATGTGTGACAATCCAATACTTAAAACAATATATTCAGTAGGTGCAGGCTTTGCCATGGCACTTGCCATCAGTCTGTTGGAAGGTACTATAGCCCGTGATTGAAAGCATTGGCTTGAATACCTGGGTGCCCAGTCCAAAACCAGCACTGTGACCTTGGGCAAATTTCTTAACCTTTCTTGGCAGTTTTTCACCTGTCAAATGAAATACCAGCCTCCATGGAGGAGTTCTGAGAACTAAGAGTAAATACCATGAGGTACTTAAAACAATGTCTATTCTCTGGTGCATTTTAAGAAGCATGTTGTTTGCATAAAGCTAATTTACACCCAGGTTTTATGGAGCAGGGTTACTGCTTGAAGTAAACAACAACAAGCCATTAAAAATAAAAATTAAAATAAAATAATCCTTTCTCCTGAAACCTCTTATTCAGATTTTTTTTAAGGTGGTAGGGTCCCTGGGTTGTATAAAGAGTTAATGGGCTTGGCTGCTAACCAAAAGGTTAAGGATTAAAGTCTACTGAGAGGTGCCTTGGAAGAAAGGTCTGGTGATCGCCTTCTGAGAAATCAGCCATTGACAACACTATGGAGCACAATTTTAATCTGACACACATGGGGTCACCATGAGTTGAGTCAACTTGATGACAATTTTTTTTTGATAGTGTGATGGTAGATACTTGATTTCTTTTGTTTTCCAGTATTGTTTATGCAATACATATGTTCTTAAATCACAGACATTTAATAGGGAGCACTAGTAACAAAGATGGGCAATCTACTTCCTTATTGATACTGCCTTGGAAACCCAAGAAAGGGTCACTATGAGTCGGGTCTGACTCGACGGCACACAACAACAACAACAGTGGTGTAGTGATTAAGTGCTCAGCTGCTAATTGAAAGGTCAGTGGTTTGAATCCACCAGCCACTCCGTGGGAGAAGGATGTGGCAATCAGCTTCCTGGAAACCCTGTGAGACAGTTCTACTCTGTCGCGTTGGGTCACTATGAGTCAGAATTGACTCCACGGCACGTAGCAATAACAACATACACTTCTTAAGCAGTCATCAACTGGCTTACAGTTGTGGGCAGCTACACTTTTGAAGTCAAGACTCCAAATTGGAGGCTGAGCCAGGGTTTGACCCTCCAGTCTGTACATTTTGACCACTTTACTGTGGGATAGAGTGTGACCCATGGGCCTTCTAGGCTAGCCCTAGGATCCCCAGGTGGCTTCAACATATTATTTTCTGCTAATAAAATCGATGCCAAGGGAAAACAGGGGCTTCTTCTTCAGTCTCTTCCTGGAGCAGGTGGGATTATCCTGTCCACATACTTCATGTCCTGGGTGCTCTCCTTGGTGGTAGGTGACTCACACCAGCTTTCTGGCTGGGGGGGAGGAGAGAGCACTCATCAGCAAGGATGAGGTCACACTGAGCCTGCTCTATCAGGCTCTGCAGCAGCACCAGGAGCTGTGATGTTGACATAGAAGGAAAAACACTTAGAAACTAACTGGCAAGATTTCAAGGGGCCTTTCCCCTTAACTGAAACTTGCTTTTTCCTACTTCTGGAGAAGTACAGACACAGAGAGGTTTTGCAAAGGCCTCTTGGCAAGGTTTTCCCATCTGCACTTCCTTCCTTAGGCCCAGCTAGTTGTCTGCCCTGAGTTTTCTCTTGATCAGGCCAGTGAAAAGCTGACACTACACATTGAATTAAAAAATTAACAAGTGCCCATTGTTCTATCTGGACATATCGACCCAGTGTTTTGTCTTTTCTCTCTGCCTCCCAGTTGCAGGATAGCCTGTCAACCAGGCTCTGGCTTGGATTTACCAGTGTTATCATCTACTGTAAGGAGCTCTGGTGGTGTAGTTGTTAAGGCATTTGGCTACTAACCAGAAGGTTGGCAGTTCACACCCACCAACCGCTCTGTTTCCATAAAGATTTACAACCATGATATGATGAACTACGGAGACCTCAGCCTTCATGACCCTGAAACCAGAAGAACTATATGGTGCCTGACTACCAATGTCAACCACTCAGGGATCAAAATTGGAGATCCTAGATACGGTGGGAAGAAAAATATGGAAGAAAATTCAAAAACACAAAAATGACCAGAATTACTGGTCAGATAGAGACTGGTAGAACCCCAGAGACTTTGGCCCTGGGTTATCCTTTGGGCCTGGAACAGGACTCACTTCCATGGATTAGGTCTCAGCCAAACAGTTGAAAGGTCTACAAACAGAACACCTACCCTAGGGAGATGCACCCCTTAGATTAATCAGCTATGAGACATCAGAAGGGCAGCATTTGCATAGAGGGAAAGTTGGACAGACAGGAAGCATAGATAAGAAGGACACAGGGAAGGGGTAATCAATGGGAGGAGGAGTCAGGGCTGTGAAACCAAATGTGCATGAACTATTGAGAATAAAACAAATCTGCTTTGTAAATTTGCACCAAAACCACAATAAAAGGGAAAAAAAAAAAGATTTACAGCCTTGGAAACCCAGTGGAGGTCACTGAGTTGGAATTGACTTGATGGCAGTGAGTTTGGTTTTTTTGGTTTTATCATCAACTGTGTGATGGGTAGAGTTTCAGACTTCTTTCCTGAAACTCAGAGAGTGTCTTGGCCAGTTTGTGTCTTCCCCTCTTCCAGGCAGGCTCTGCAGGCTCTTCCCTGAGAGGTAAGTCTCTCCACACCACTTGGCTTCATTGTGATTCAGACGCAGAACTATATTGATTCAGGCAGCAAGGCAGACATTCTCTCTCCAAGGTGTCATGAGAGGTCTCAGTTAAGTGGGAACCTGTAAGCACACATGTCATTGTCGTCCAAACTATGTTTGTCGCCTCAGGTGATCATGCTAAATTATACATAGGTAGAGGCTTTCTGCAGTGCTGTTTTTCCACTAGAGCACAAAGCACTCTGTTCCATGAGGGATTTTACAAAGCAAGTCATCCAGGCCCTGGAGAAACTGGGGAGCTGCAGGAAGGCAGGTTACTCTTCGACCCGTAGTGCTAATCAGGGTGCAAGTTAAAATAAATAAGAGGCAGCTCCGTACGAATTTTAATTTTATTTGAGTATTATTTCCTTGAGCAGAGAAAATTTCTGATAGTTTAAATGTGAAATCCGTTAGGTTGTTGAAACAAAGAAAAGAAAGAAGGAACAAAGAAAAGTCAAAATGCCACATTTAACCTGCTTCTCTGATCAGATAAGAATCCACTTTTAGCATCACCAAAATAACTTAATGACTGAAACTGCTGGCTTCATGATTCGGCATCTTTCTCTTCTCCGTGTATTTTCTTCTTATTATTTCATACCAGTTATATTGCCTCACTTCCTCTCAATTAAAAAAAAAATCACCTCATTAAAGTGATTGAAAGATCATTTTATACCGAGTAAACCCTCAAAAGCTATTTGTTAGATGGATAAATGGCATAAACATGCCATGAGTCCAGTCTCCATGTTTATTTTAATTCCTTACATGTATTGAAGGTGGAGACTACAAACTGCCAATTCTTAAGATGTAACAAATGTTCAAGGAACAGTTTGAAAACAAATGGAAAAAACAAACAATTTGAAACTATGGATAGAGAGAAGATAGATTGGTGAAGTGGGGGTTAGATTTAAATAGTTAGTTACAGTATTTAGAATTCTTCAGGCAGTGACCCTATTAGAACCAGTTGAAACAAGTTGTCATGGACTTGACTCTGACTCTTGGATGCCTCATGTGTGTCAGACTAGAACTGCACTATTTAGGGTGTTCAGTAGCTGGTTTTGGGGAAGTAGATCACCAGGCCTTTCTTCTGAGGTGCCTCTGAATAGACTCAAACCACCAACCAGCCTTTTGATTAACAGTCAAATGCTTAACCATTTGTGCCACCCAGGAACTCCTATTAAAACAGTCCCATTTTATCTTTGTATGCTCCCTCCACTTTAAGTTGTTTCTTGAACATTTGTTACATCTTGAGAATTGGCAATCAGTAGTCTCCATGTTTGGACAATGAATAAGAAAAACTGAAGAAGAATTGATACATATGAATTACAGTGTTGGTGAAGAGTGTTGAATATGCCATGGACTGCCAGAATGATGAACAAATCTGTCTTGAAAGAAGTATAGCCAGAATGCTCCTTAGAAGGGCGGATGACAAGACTTCATTTACATACTTTGGACATGTTATCAAGAGGGATCAATCCCTGGAGAACATTGTGCTTGATAAAGTAGAAGGTCAGTGAAAAAGAGGAAGACCCTCAATGAGATGGGTTGACACAGTGGCTGCAATAATGGGTTCAAACATAGCAACTGTTGTGAGGATGGCCCAGGACAAGTGTTTCATACTGTTGTGCATGGAATAACTATGAGTTGAGGCCAACTCAACATCACCTAACAAGAATAACATATTTTGTATGTGTGAGGAGATTATATAAATGTATAAACTTGACTTGCGGTATACTTATGTCAAGGTATTGTTCATCTAATAAATACCTTTTGCAGGTCACAGAGACTGGCCTACAGTTGAAAAGTTGGATATTTGCCATCTGTCTTGCTACAAAGTTCTGTTTTCTCAGAATATCACCAGCAGTTTTTTCTCTCTGTCCATTTGACAGGTGGTGACCAAGAAGGAAGACTTTTTCAGTGCCTGGAATTCATGCCTTCACCATGTGGCTTCTCTGTCTCTGGCACACATTCACCGAGGTCAGTTGACTCATGTTGAATATTTGTAATCAATGTGTAAAGGTGATCCAGAACATGGCTTTGTAGAGAAAAAACAGACCCCAAACCAATCGGGGTCCTTGGGTTGAATTCAACCAGAATCAGTTGTTGTTGATTTGTTTCTGAGTCCTGACAGCCCCATGTATGTCAGAGTAGAACTGTGCACCACAGGATTTTCAATGACTGATTTTTTTGGAAGTAGATTACCAGGTCTTTCTTTTGAGGCACCTCCAATTGTACTCAAATCCCCAACTTTTGGTTAGCAGCCAAGCATGTTACCTGGTTGTACCACTCAGGGACTCCTGTGTTGAAATTAGGACTCAGCCTGCCCTGTGGTTAGACAGTTTTATGCACTTTACAGGGATTTGTCAGTCTATTATGCAAATAGGGTACATAAAACCACCTAATAAGATTGAGTGACTTGCTTATATAAGTGGCCAACCTAACAGGTTTTCAGAAAGACATGTAGAGAGAGAGAGAGAAGGAGCTCTAACACTGAAGATAGCAAGAAACAACCAAGAGATAGCAGAACCTGGCAGCAGTAGGGCTGACTGAGACCCAGCAGCAGTAGGCCCAAGAGGGGCCTGGTGACAGTCAGCCTGAGAGAAGGTGCAGCAGAAGAGGAGCTGTGTTGGTTGGAAGCTGTCCCAATTGCAGAACTGTGTCCTGTCTTCCCTGTTGCATCCAGTTGTTTCCAAGTCAATTCTGATTCTGACTTGTAACCTATTACTTCTCAGTAATGACTTAACTGTAAGTGCAGTTCATGAGTTCTGTGAGATGTTGCAGCAAACTGCCAAAATCAAAAGACGGGAGGAAGAACACTGAGGGGTGAGGGAATAGTTGGAGTTAGAGATGATGGAGTGATGAGCACTTTGGAGAAGTTGGAAATCTGGGATATATTTAACCTTCACCTTACAGGAACTAGCTTGGTGCTGATTCTTATTAAAGCAGGCATTAGTTCAAGGTCACTGCCTGAAGAACTTTAAGTACTAGAACTTATTACCTTGGCAGTTCAAACTCACCAGCCACTCCTTGGAAGAAAGGTTAGGCAATCTACTTTGGTAGTGATACTGCCTTAGAAACTCAAGGAGGGGTCGCTATGAGTTGGGTCTGACTCAACGGCACATAACAACAACAACAACAATCTACAGATCAGCAAGTCACTGGTTCAGTGCTTTAAATCACTAGTTCTCAACTCGAGGCAGTTTTGCCCATCAAGGGGATATTTGGCAATGTTGGTAGACATTTTTGTTTGTACCACTGGGTGGAAGGATGATGCAGGCATCTAGCAAGCAGAGGCCAGGGATGCTGCTACACATCCTCTAATGCACAGGGCAGCCCCCTGCACCAATGAATTGTCCAACGAAAATGTCAGTAATGTTAACGTTGAGGAAACTTGAACCTTCGTTTTGGCTTACAAAGACCAAAATAACTCAAAATAAAATGAAACATTAAAAACCAAGCATAATCCATGAAGATAAGACAAATGTTATCGAAATTATTGTTTAATCTCAAGAATAACCTATTTATCATCATGTTGTTGTTACGGGGGAAGTACTAAAAGAAAAAGTCAAGACATAGTGTTTATTTGCTGTGCAGAGTTTTTGATCACATGGGGCCTACTCCTGGCCTCTGGAAGGTGGGGCCAAGCATTGTCATCAGCATAGCTCTGGGAACTGGCTACTGTTGTGTCCTTGACACCATTTATCTTGTTGGGTAGAATTGCTCCGTGAGGTCTATTAGGAGTCAGGGTAGGCATTATGACAAGTAGTGTAGGACTGCCTGAATCCTACCCAGCTCAGCACCCTGCCTTCCTAACCAACCAGTTCCAGAAGAGCAAAGTGCCATGTATCAAGTGCTACATTACTAATACCTGCAAGAATGCCCAGAGCTTTCCTTACACAGCTCAGATAGGAGCTGGATTGAACTGAGTGGTTTAACTGCAGGCCTACCCTGGTCTCTTCCTTCCCTGTAAACTTACTGCAGCTCTTGGGACACTGCACCCTTGGGTGAGCCTCATGATCCTGCTTGAGGGTAAGGACCGGGATAAAATGCATAAGTGATTGTACAGAGAGGACAGGCCCCTTCTGTGTTCCTCCTAGGATCAGAAAGCAGGAGACACGCAGGACTTCCCATCCTGGTGCTGGCTCATTTACATAGGGACCACATCCTCTCATAGTCATGGCCTCATTTGTGTTCAAATTTCTGATTGATTCAAGACCCACCTTCTCCTCTCTGGACAGGGGAAAGGGGAACAAGGATAAGACTGATGGGGTCAAGCAAAGGTGGCTGGTTTCCTCCCCTCTAGGCCATGAAGCCTTGTCTAAGAACCACTTGTATGCAGTGATTCACTGACTCCCATTTTGCAAAACTCAGCCACATTTCTGAATGTTCAGAAGCTTCTCATCTGGAATACGCATGGCTCATCCTCATGTGCCAGGACAGGCAGTCTCCACAGTCAGTGCACAGGGGCCAGAGGGAGAGCCTGCCCAGTATCCTCAGAGCGAAACCAGTAGGCGTCTGCACACAGTGGTTGAGGAGGCAATAAGCGTGTCTTGAGTGCAGTTTCAGAGAGGCAGGGCTAAAATGTGACTGACATATGCCAGATAACTTTCAGCCTGATAACAAATATTATGGGGGGAGGGGAGAAAAAAACAATAGAATGATTTCTTCCCCTTTGTAGGAAAATCTCCACGTGGAATTAAATTTTAATCAGAAGGTGGCTGACTGAGCATCTGGGCAGCTCATGACATTAGTCTGCCGGGGATCTGAGTGTCCACTTTAAGACTAATGGCCACGGAGGCTGCATTGTGGAGCCTACAGGGCGTGATCTTCCCTGGACTGCCTGTGCTCTCAGCAACCACCCTACCCCTATGAAAGCCCTTTCCATAGTGTATGACCCATAGATATTTAGAAAAAGAAATACATAGTGGTGTTGACTCCACTCACTGTGACTGTGTGTGTCAGAGTAGAACTGTGCTCCACAAGGTTTTCAATGGCTGATTTTTTAGAAAGAGATTGCCAGGCCTTTCTTCCAGAGGGCCCCTGGGTGATCTCAAACCCCCAACCTTACCATTAGTAGCTGAGTGCATTAACTATTTGCACCACTCAGTGTTGAATTTGAAAAAAAAAAAAAAAAAAATTAGTGTCTGATGTATTACTGGACAACTTTATGAATAGCCCTGAAACATTGTCCATTAGAGTGCCGAAGATCAGCCCCTCAGGTCGGAAGGCACTCAAAATACAACTGGGAAAGAGCTGCCTCATCAGAGTCAAAATGACCTTAACGATATGGATAAAGTAGAGCTTTTGAGACCTCAATTTGCTGATGTGGCATGACTCAAAATGAAAAGAAACAGCTGCAAATATCCATTTAAAAAAAAAAAAAAAACCCACTGCCGTGAAGTTGGATTCAACTCAGAGTGACCCTTCCTTGGGTTCTGGGGCAGTATCACTACGGAAATAGATTGCCCAACCTTCCTTCCCAGGAGTGGCTGGTGGATTTGAACCATCAGCCTTCTAGTTAGCAGTTAAATGCGTTAGACACTATGCTACCAGAGCTCCCACCATTAATAATAGGAACATTAGAAACATGGAATATATGAAGTATGAGTTTAGGAAAATTGGAAGTTGTCAAAAATGAAATTGAGTGCATAAAGATTGATATCCTAGGCATTACTGAACTGAGCTGGACCCGTTTTCACCATTTTGAATCAGACAAGCATATGATCTACTATGCCAGGAATGACAAATTGAAGAGGAATGGTTTGGCATTCATCATCATAAAGAATGTTTCAAGATCTATCCTAAAGTACAATGCTGTCAGTGATAGAATAATATCCATACACCTACAAGGAAGACCAGTTAATACTATTATCCACACTTATGCACCAATCACCAAAGAGCCAAAGACAAGGTAATTGAAGATTTTTACCAACTTCTGTAGTCTGAAATTGATCAAACATGCAATCGAGATGTGCTGATTATCACTGGTGATTGGAATACAAAAGTTGGAAATAAAGAATAATCACGGGTAGTTGGAAACTTTGGCCTTGGTGATAGAAATAACTCTGGAGATCTCATGATAGAATTTTGCAAGACCAATGACTTATTCATTATACTGGACAACTAGAAAAAAGGTGAATAGCTTTTGTCAACAACACAAATGGCGGCTATACACATGGACTTCACCAGATGGAGTACACATGAATCATATTGACTGTATCTATAGCAAGAGGCAATGGAAAAGCTCAATATCTTCAGCCAAAACAAGGCCAGGAGCTGA